TTGTCCGTGTGTGTGTGTGTGTGTGTGTGAATATATTCCATACAGTGTTGCTGGCTTTTAATCAAAATTCTAAATGAATTTGGAGGGTCCTTCCCAACCGAAGCACCAAAGGAAATGCAAGGAAAGACGAAAGAGTTTGGTTAGGAAAGGCCAAATTTCTCAGAGGAAGGAAGGGGGAAGAAGAGCCCTCCCCACATTCTTTGCAGGGATAATTCCAGAGGTAGTTCTGGTTGCTAAAGCCAGAACTTGAAATATTGTGTGATAACTGCCATTTGCTTTAGTGGAGCTGTGCTGGCCTCCCCTGCCCACTGGAGCAGGATCTGATGTGCAGCCAGAAGTGAAAAATTACCGGCTACAACTGCCCCCACCCCCACCCCAAAATGTATGCATGGGAGCAATTTCCATGTGCATACTGGTGATCTTTGTCCAGCCACACGTCACAAAAGGTATCCTCCTCAATTTCCACCATTGTGTCCATTTGTGTTAGAAGAATCCATATTACCTTGGGCGATCTCAAGTTGCCTTTTTGCATCTCCTAACGCAGAGAACAGGTCCAACTTGATCCTTGTCTCCGCGCTCAAGCTGTTTTCTAAGTGCTGTGTCTTATCCTGCATGGCTGAAAGTGCTGACATTAATACCTCTGTATCCTTTTCATTCTCTTTGTATTTCCGTAGTTCCTTTGAAAGAAATTGAAGCAGGACTGTTACAAACTGGGTCTTGATACTGAGGCATGATAAACCTGTTCTGTCTCTACTGTTCTCAAGAATTAGCTGGGAGAATCTGAGGCACACTGTGGTTTTAAGACAAGTTGGTTATATTGTCAGAAATAATCTGTCAAATATGCACCATCTACATCTAAAAGGTAACTTACTTAACATCTGCAGAAGCAGCAGCTTAGAATTCATCACATTCAGGTGTAATTACAGCCTCTTTTAACCCACCCTCCTTTTCAAAGGAACAGAAGAGATTGCCAGTGCATTCTTATCATAAAATATCTTACACTAACAATTATCCATCCCAGAATACACTTCAACCTCTGATTTGTTTTAGTGTTTATGAGATGAATCAGAGCTTGGTGCATTAATTCTGCTAGTCCTGGTAAGATGAGCACTGTCAAATTCCTTGTTCACACACAGGTGGTCTTATATCTGGAGACCCCTGAGATGACACATTTCTGAATTTCAAAAGGACCATTATATACAGGTATGTTACATGAAGCTCATTTAGCAACTCTGTAAGTGCCAAGAAATAGCCAGTTTCCACAATCTATAAACTCATATATGTAGAAAAACCAGTCAGTCAATTTACAGGATTATGTCTGAGTAAGTCACACAAATGTAACATTACAATGTGCACACAACCAATCAAAATCATCCTATGAGATATTTCCTAGAGATGCTACAATGGTTAGGCCAGTTCAGCCTAAATTGCTAGGTTAATCCCTGCAACCTCTTTTTGTCTGAGCTACAAAAGTAGTTGTTTGGTGGACAGTGCTAATGGTCAACTGAACTCAAGATCTGGACATTGGTGCTTAAGAGAAATGCTTAATAATTACTGCACTTAATAAAGTAGGTGGCTTCTGCCAGTCACAGAAGAAGCAAATCCAGGCCACCCATCGACAAGGTAGAGGAAAATATGTAAAAAGAGGATATAAATTAACCAAGAGAAAAATGACCCCATCTTTCCAAATGGACCAATGAGGACTGAACATGCTCCATGAGGCATGGAACGTTAAACATCGTTAAATGAAAAACAAACAGAGGGATATGAGGAAAATTAGCCTACTAAGGTCTGAGACTATAAAGAAATGAGAGGTTGATTTGGGTGGGTGTATGGGAATATTTCCAGTTTGTTTGTATCCCCATCCCATTGTGATTTCTTGAGAGCCCCCAGCTCACTCCTGATAATGAATAAACAGGTTGCTTACCTGTAACTGATGATCTTCGAGTGGTCATCTATGCATTCACACCTATGGGTTAAGGTGCATGTGCTGGCTCCGATTCGTGAAACTTCTAACAAGCTCAGAAAGGATCTGAAGCCCCTCCCCAGGCATGTGCAGGAACTCCAACCACGCATGCCCAGAGGGTGGGACTCCAGCATCCTGCCAGTTCCTTCTGACCGCTGCAACCTCCAGAAAAAAACCCAGATAATGAAGGCTGACAGCAGTGGGGAAGGAGGGCAGGTGGTGTGAATGCATAGATGACCACTCGAAGATCATCAGTTACAGGTAAGCAACCTGTTTATCTTCATCGTGGTCTCTATGCATCACAACTATGGGAGATTAGCGAGCTAAGGCCTATCTGGAGGAGGGTGCTGGCATCATCTCAAAGAGACCATGGACTGAAGTACTGAACGCCCCAGGCAGGAAAGTTGCTGTGCATGAACATTCAAAGCATACTGTCTGATGAACGTGTTTGGAGTTGCCCAGGAAGCAGATTGACAGATGTCCTGCAGGGGCACCCCTCTAAGGAAAGCTGTAGAAGTTGACACCGCACGGATGGAATGAGCTCTAGGCACAACAGGCAAAGGTCTCTTCTCCAGGAGGTAACAAAAACGAATGGCCTCAACGATCCATTTAGACAGTCTTTGAGTTGAGATTTTACTCCCAAATGAATGCGGAGCATAAGACACAAGGAGGCAAGGATCTTTACGGACCTTGCGTGTCCTGTCCAGATAGAATAAGAGCGCCCTCTTCACATCTAGAATATGCCATAGGCGCTCAATCTCTGTTTTGGGATTTGGATAAACTGGTAAAAAAACCTGTCTATGCAGATGGAATTCCAAAACCACCTTCGGTAGGAAGGAGATATCTAGTGACAAGGTTACATCATGTCATGCTCTGGGTCGGGCCCAGGTCTGGAATACCCTGTAGCCGTGTTGGGAGTTATATGGAGGAAGCAAGTGCCTCAGATTTGGAAGTGCTGGGGGTTACGGCACACCCCAGACACCTTCCTCAGACCGATCGCCTTTACACGTTCTCTCTGTGTTTGCTAGGAGATCAGCTCTGACTTCCTCCCCAGCACCTTTCAGCTTCCTTATTTATTCATTTATTTAATTATATACCCCGCCCTCCCCACACGCGGGCTCAGGGCGGCTTACAATGTACAATGTATATCATTCCCACTCCCTTAGGGACACCCCTTTCTGTGCTTCTTAAACCTATAGGCTATTCTACCTGCCTATCACCTTGATCTCCTATCCCATGGTGCTTCCTCCTCTGTGGTCACGCCCCTGGTAATCTCAGTGTTTCTATCCTGGAACAGGGCTTGTAAGGGAGTGCCTACTTCCGGTCGGGATGACGAGATTGTGGCAATCCACACCCCAAACTCCAACAGAGGCAGTATGTTTTGAAGAGATGTCACTCTGAATTTGCAATATGTGATGAATTTGTTCAGAGCCCTAAGATCCAAGATTGGGTGAAGACCCCCATCCTTCTTTGGGACAGTAAAATACTGGGAGTAAAAACCCTGTCCCTGTTCTGAGGAGGAAACCAGCTCTATAGCTTGCTTGGCCAGTAGTTGTTGAACTTCTTGATGAAGAACTACTGATGCTGAAGTCATGACGAACAGAGGAGTAGGAGGCATCTGTAGGAATTATCTTGCATAGCCTCTGGTGATGATGGAACGCACCCAAGAATCTGATGTTATGAGATTCCAGGCAGGGTAGAACAGGCCAAGGTGGGTGGTCATGGGAGAGGAGGGGAGACGGACAGAGGGGGTTGGCAGGTGGCACGTGGTGTAAAAGTCAAAGACCCTGTTTGGTGTTCTTGCCCATCTTGACCTTGCTGTTGAGATGCCTGTTGGAACTTTGGCCAACTTTCCAAGCATTCTCTGGAGACTGTCTGCCATATGGCCATCTATTAGAGTGGGACCATGTCATGGGCCTTTGAGATCGACAGGATGGAGAGACACCCAGACTTTGAGAGGCTTTCAGACTTTTATCCATGTCTTGTAAGATAGAGTCAGTGGTGGAATGGAAGAGGCCCTGACTGTCAAAGGGCAAATCTTCTATATAGGCCCTGGTATTGGTTTGAAGAGATGTTGTACGAAGCCAAGAATGACAATGAAGAGCCACCGCAGATGACATAGTCTTGGAACAGGTATCAAGGGTATGTTTGGCAGAATTATTTGCTTTGACAAGATCATACCCTCCTTCTGTACTTTTCTAGTTTCATCCCATTGTTGTTCATGCGGAAGGGTGAGGAACGCTGACATCTGTTCCCACAAGGAATATCCATAGCACCCCATACATGCCACATAATTTGATGTTTTTACTCCCAAAGTGCCTGCTGAGTAAAAATGACGACTAAAAGTGTCCATCTTTTTACTTTCTTAGTCCGATGGAGTAGACTGTGTCTTCTTACTCTTAGAAGAAAAGATAACAACCATAGAATTAGGTTGGGGATGAGCACAAAGAAATTCTGCACCAGCCTCCTGGACTCTATATATGTGGTCCAATCTTCTGGTGGAGATAGGAGTGGAGAATGGTCAATCCCAGTGGGACCTGGCCGACTGAAGAAGGACCTGAGTCATGGGCAGTGCAATTGCTGTGGAAGTATCCAATTGGATAATGTCAAACACAACATCAGTTACTTGGGGTTGTGGCTGAGTGATAATGATGCCCAGGGAATGTGCCATCTTCTTGATCAAATCTCCATAAGACCGGAGATCCTACGAAGGAGAAATAGGGAGATCATCTGCTATGTGCTGGTTCAGAGAAGGGTCCAAAGGAGTAGTGGGAGCCCCAGAACCCTCCTTTTCAGATTCACTCCCAGAAAAATGAGACAAATCTCCCGCCCCGGACAAATCAAGAGGTGTCGGAACGTCAGAAAAAGGACGTGATGGAGGCATCAGTGACCCTGGCTGCATTGGGGCTGTCGGTAACAATGGCGTCGGTGTTGACGCTTACCGAACAGGAGGAGTCATCGGTGTCGAAGGTTAAGTAGGGATGGCCGTTAATAGCGGGACTGATGGAGGGTGATCCAGTGATGGGGAGCAAGCACGGTGTGAGACCACTGAGCGTTGATCCCAATCCAGTGGACGACCCAGAATCAGCCAGGGGAGAGCCGAAGCCAACAGAAAGGCACTGTAAAGATATTGTAGTTGCCTTTAGTCCCATGGAACCATCATGGAAGATGGCAGCAGCGAGAAAGCAGCTGGTGCTCTGCTGTGAGGGGATCAATCCTGAGGACTCGGCGAGGAGCTGCTATGGTAGGAAGTGGAACGGTCCAGTCCACGCTTGGACTTCCATTGGTGCTGACAACTGGCGCCAATCAGAGATTGGGATAGAGAGTGCTCGGAGGCTGAGGAGCGGGAGTCCTGCTGGGTGGCAATGTGAAGTGGGATAGGCACCACTTCCACATCTGACCCAGAAAATGGAGGGTCCGCCGGCACCGACCAATCCATCGGGGAGTCAGGCTGACGGATGGGTGAGTTCAACAGCGTAATAGGTGGAATTGCTGGAACGTGCGTCGGGTCTGGTGAAATCGAGTGGACAAGGGGAGTGGCTGCAGGCGCGTCAGAACCCATTGCAGCATTCACCACAGTATTCACAGAGGCAGTCTTAAGTTGTTTATGTTTAACCTTAGTGTGGCTCTTGTCTTTCTTATTTTTTTTTTGGACATTGGCATCAACTATACCAATGGAGCTGTCGGCGTTGCAGACTTTTGATATTGAAGGACCAGCCTCAGAGATTGTCACAGTCAATGCATCCGATGATCGGGGCCGATCCATTGCTGTCGATCTGTCAGTGCCAATCAAGGCCAATCCACCGGTGCCAGAGTTACCTCAGCATACGTAGAAGCCATGGATTTAGGTCACAGCACCGACTCCAGAAGGGCTGCTTGAAGGTTGGCTGCTCTATTCTTTCGGGTTTGGCTGGAAAACTTCGCGCAGTGAACACAGGTATCTGCCTATGCACTTCCCCGAGACACAGGAGACACAAGGAGTGGCCATCCAGTGGAGCAAGCTTGTACCCACACTGGGTGCAACACTTAAAACCCCCCCAACAATTTGCCATAGACAAGAGGGCAAACCTGAGAGAAAAAAATGGGGGGGGGGTAGTCTGACCAAAGTTGGAGAGGAAAGAAAAAAAATCTAACTTTTTTGTTTTTGTCTTTAAGATGAAAACAAAAAGGAGAAAGAACTGAGCTGGAAAAGGAGAGAAAAACTAAAGAGAATACTTTTGCTCACAAAAGAAGTTCCCAGACCGAAGCAGATTGACTGATCAGCGTGGAGGTCAGAAGAGAACTGGCAGGATGCTGGAGCCCTGCCCTCTAAGCATGCACGGTTGGAGTTCCTGCGCATGCTTGGGGAGGGGCCCCAGATCCTTTCTGAGCTTGTTAGAAGTTTCCCGAATTGGAGCCAGTGCAGGTGCCTTAACCCATAGGTGTGATGCATAGAGACCATGACGAAGACCTGATGTTCAAGTGACTATCACTAAGGGAATGAAAAAAGGCAGGTGATTCTGCATACTTGGGGAAGCCCACAAGAATGCAGAAAAACGATACTTGACAAATGGAAAACCCCCACAAAAATGGATTGACTCTTGGAATGTTCTAGAAGGCACTGAAAGCTATGGGCAGCTGAGGATCATTTAGAGAAAGGGATAGAGGGAAACAGGGGGGAGTGGGGCAAAGAAACTGGCCTGTTCAAGTTCCTGGGTACTTTTACATGGGGGCAAGAGCACTCTCACCATGGCAGCAGCAAGTGGCACAGAAGTAGCATCGATACACACCCCATTTCTTTAATGTTTGCTGATGCTATCCCCACTTCTGCTCTCCCTTTTTCCCTGCATGAAAGTGCAGATGTAGCAGTGATTCTGCCAGGACCCCTGATTTTCCTTGCAGAGCTACATTAGCGCTGCAGTGTCTTTGGCAGAGAAAAAGCCTTCTAAAGGCTAAAGAGGTAGGTGTGGGGAGGAAATGGTGCACAGCAGCAAGCTGTACAGTGCTGTTTTACCTCACAGAGATACCCCCTTGCCACCACTCTGAGGATTCCCCTCTAAATGGGAGAAAAAAGACTTTGTTTTTCCAGTTCACAGGGTAAAGCCCCAGGAATGCTTTTTTTTTGCCATGATTTGCACTTGGCATAAGCACAACTTCACGTGGTTCAGAAGCTCCCTCCTCTCTGTGTAAACGGGGAAAATCCCATGTGGAAACATTCTGGAGGAGACTCTGAATAGGGGAAAAATTCCCAGCAATTCCCCAACATGTAACTTCTGATTTCCTAACAAATGGAAGATAGGATTTTCTAACTCTCTCTCCTCTCAAGATAAATTTCTGTCTTTGCTTAATGTTTTGTTTTGACAGGCTTTTTACTCACCAAACCAGTACAGGCTTAAAGCCATGGGCGGGCTGCTTTTTACTTTTGATCCAACTATTTTAAGCCTTAAGGGATGCATGCACCTAAGAACTCCATTAAAAAGGCCCCATTTAGAAGTCTGTAAAATCCCATATCCAACTTTTTTTTTTTTTCCTAACAATTGATCAAGAAAATCATAGAAGTAGGCATAACAGTTTAAGGGCCTTTCCACAGTACAACTACACATTACAAAGAAAACATAGGGCTCCCATCATCAAGTTTGTTGCAAAGGATTAATGGAGTATGTGGGGGGAGGAGAGACATGACTCTTTCTGGGAAGGATTGGAGGGCAGAGGCTTAATCCTTTGCCCAGTGACTGATTTTCCTAGCAAATGTTCAAACCCCCTTACTACCTTTTAATCTTTTCTCCCCCAACAAAGCTCCCAAATTGGAAGTGAACCAAGAGAACTATTGCAGGATGTGGGTGCTAGAGGCAACATTTGCTGGGTCAAATCAGCAGGCACAGCTGGGGTTAAGCTCATTTGCCACCAATTCTCCCCTACAAATAACCCATCTTTTGATTCATGTTACGGCAGCAAACACAAGTCTGGGAACACAAATGTGTTGAATACAATATGCACTTTTGTCTTATGCATTACTTTTTAAAGCCCGCACGAAAGCCCAGATTCAGACAATACTTGCATATAAGTGTCTGAGCTGCAATCTGGGTGGTCAGCTGTTCAAATTATGGGCTGGCTCCTGTAGTTCCCCCCTCATACTGCTCTGTCTGGTCCCCCATCCCCCAGGGGCAGCATTTTGCACTCCATTGGGAGGGTGGAGGCAGGGAAATCGTCTTTCTATGCATGGAATTTAGACAGGATCCAACATCTCTGCCATGAACTCATGAGGCAGCTTTAGGCAAGCCATTCTCTCGCCTCCCCCCTCAGCAGTATGGGGAAAACAATGCTGGCCTACCTTAAAGGCCGTGTTGTATGCAACACAACAAGATAATGTATGTGAAGCACTTATAGGCAAGCCATTCTCTCGTCTCCCCCCTCAGCAGTATGGGGGAAACAATGCTGGCCTAACTTAAAGGCCGTGTTGTATGCTACACAACAAGATAATGTATGTGAAGCACTCTGAACACTGAAAGCACTATGCATTACTTCCCATGTAGTACACACACATTTCTTCTGTCAAACTGCTGTCTCTGGCCAAATAGGCTTCTGGGACAGTATAAACACCTGCAGAACCTGTTTACCAGCAGTGAAAGTGAGACTAGCATCATCTCCACAAGCAGCGGGCTATCTTTCAAACTGCCTTCAACTCTGGAGGAAAAATTGTCTGATCCTACCATTACGCACACAGGCTTGCAAATCAATTCCTCATACAGAGATCCTTGCTAATTATTTGTGGTAGCTCCTGTCATGCACCTTAGATTGGCCAGCTTTGGTTTGCTAGTGTATAACGTGTGATACAGCCTGAAAGAGAATGATGTCCATCAGTGTTTTAAGTAAGTAAGGCTCCCTCCACCCCACTCCAAGAAAGAAGAATGTGTTGCAAAGAAAAGTTAGCTGTTATGTAAGCACACAAGGCACATTATTGCTCTTTCATTACCTGAACTTTCATTTCTAGATCTCGTATCTGATCTTCTTTCAGCTTTATGTCAATTGTTAACTTCTTGCACTCTGTCTCCAGGTCTCTGATGCGATTCCGTAAAGTTTCAGTGCATTCTCCTCTGCCCAGCAAAACAAACAGACACACATACAAAGAGAGGGAGAATGAATAAATGAACTTTTCAGTGTGCATTGGTAGTTCCATAAAAGCAGGATGAATGGTGCAAGACCGAAAAATGGGGCAAAAGATGTTGTAGGCACCAAATGCCAATTTCAGCTCACTGGGAATCAGCAACAGCCCTGCCCTGAATAGGGGAGGATTACTTCTGTGTGCCTTTGTTGTTCTAGCAAACTTGTGTTTAGTCACTCAGCACTATGTCACACAACAACTCAACAATGGCCGAAAATCTCGGCACCTGGCATCTTCAAATTCAACCACATTAAGGATGAAATGGAAACCTGTCACTAATGTTGCTGTGGAAAACAATGGAACCCTAAACATTCAGTAGAAATAAAGTTTCTTTGGATTATACAAATTCAAGGGAAGGAGAAAGGAGTAGTTGGAAACTTTGCATGTAGAAAACAAGCATTTCAGAGGAAAGAAACAAGATTTCCCCTCACAAGTTATTTTTCTACATGTGGGAAGATTGAAATAATTAAACAGGGTAGAATACAAAACTGTGGTCTCCAGTGTAGAAAAACAAACTAGTGCTCAGGTCTGAGATGAAGGAAACCAAGGAAACTAAGTACCTAGTAGCAGCAGCAAAAGCAACAGCCCGTGCAGCAGTTGCTTCTTCCAACTTCTTCCTTTTTTTTTCTTCCATCAACTGTTTTTCTACAAAGGTCCGTGCCTCTTGCTCCGCTTTCAGCTTTTTCTCCAACTGGCCAATGGTCTGCTTATCTTTTTGTTTCATCTGCACAGCGTTATGCAGTCTGGTTGGGGTGGGGTAGGGTGAAAGAGGTGCACATTATTGGTAGTGCTGCTACCTTCTTTAGCATCAAAAGAAAAAAAGTGAACTCTTGCATATTTAATCCCTTTTGGGCAAATGGAGAAAGGTCTCCAAATTTCAGTAGAACAAGAGGGTAGGATTCAATCAACATAGATAAAAGCAGAGAAAGCCCAGTGAAAACAAGAGACTCTGTGAAAAGTTTCTGCAGGAGCTAAACGATAGCAATCTTGTACAATATATTTGATTCATCTGACCAAAGTCAACCCCTTCCCTTGAAGAACTTCTTAAAGCTTGAAATGCACTGGATTATTTAATAAATTTCCACTTTGACTGACTGTACAGGCTTCAGACAGAGAACATCTGTGGAATTACCCCCCTTCCCTTTCTCTGGAGCCTGTTCTTTTGAGCTTCAGGTGCCAGGTGAAGACATGTTTATTTCCACCTCTGAAGATCATTAATATTATTTTGTTCTGTCATTATGGCCAATTAGCTACTATTTTGTTGTGTAGCTGCTACTGTTGACACTCCAATACAATAGCCCACTACCATTTGTGATATCAATTCCTGAGATCACCACAAATTGTAAAATATGCAAATACTGCTCCAAACCCACAATGTTTTCTGCAAAATGCAACAGTTTATAGATTATGATCATGGCCTGGTGGTGACCATGTCATGGTTTCAGATTTACAAACCTCAAGTAAGTAAAAATGTGAGTCACAAATCTGCAAATAGCAAGGGTGTACTGTATTGCTGATATTTTTAGTTTTGTTATCCCTTATTGTTTTTATTATACTTCATGGTATAGAGGCTGAACTAAAGATAGTGGCAAAGATGTTTCATAAAAGTCCTGCTAGGTGTTGAAAGGGAGGATCCTATTTTGGACATTTTGCAGGAGTTTGCTACTGTTAAGAGTAATCTCTGACTGGCTTAATTCTTGCCAAATGAAACAAAAAGGGCTTGAAAGAGTTTATTTTCAGCTGGACTGTGTTCCAACATATTAAAAATTCAAACATATGAAGTATAAAGTAACATTTAAAGAACAGATTATGAACATAAAAAGGCAGGAAGAGATGGCCTAACATCCTGTGGGGCAGCAAGGTTAAACTTACTTATTCTGAAGCAGCTCATTTTCTTGTCGGAGCTGTCCAATCTCAGACCGAATTCCCCGCTCTGTGCTAGTCAGAGAACTAATCTGACTACGCAGCTCTTGTTCAATTTGCCTGCTTGCCTGAAGATCAGCCTTTAACTTCTTAATATCTTGCTCCAACCTAGGATAAAACACAGTTTGTTTTTAAACAGAAAATTTCACCCACCTAAAGAAGGTTCAAAGTTTGGCTTTGGCCTTTTCCCACCTTTGCTTCTTTTACCATTCCCCCCCCCCCGCCTTACCTCAAATCTCTAGCATCTTCTCCTGTGTGACCTCCAATGGCCAAATGACACATGAATGTGATAGATCTGTGTCTTTGAATGCTGATATGTGCACAGGAAGGCAGAGGATGCAATTTAAAACACAAAAAGGCTGCCGAACCCTCTATCTAGCCTTCTTTTTTCTCTTCTGTCATCCTTCCCCAACTGGGCTCACTTATGGTACTGTGTAGGCAGAGAGTTACCTCGATGGGCAGCTTGTATATGTGTATAGGAACTGGTATGACAGTTCAGCATCTTATGCCAACACACCTCTTCAGTGCTTTAAAATCATGCCTCTTACCCAACTCAGTCTTACATACAAACTGGAAAAGCAGAAGCCAAAATGAGAGATCACGGGAGGAAGTAGAATACCAAAAACAACATCCGTAACAAAAATAACGAAGAATCAATAAAGGTGAGTTGCAAAATTGTTTCCTGTAGTAATTCCTGTAGAAACATTTCTTCTATTATCGCTCACACGCTAACGAATACTGCGCAATGAACAATTCGTGTAACAATACCAGTTCTTATCAATCACTACTTCTCAACTCCTGAAGGAAACATTCCATGTTGACTCTCTAGTAACAGAAGACCTTGGTTTCTGTTATTAGAGAGTCAACATGGTATGTTTCCTTCAGGAGTTGATAAGTAGTGATTGATAAGAATTGGGATTGCTACACGCTCAGATAAAGCAAATATTGTGAAACGGATTGTTCGTTATGCAGTATTCGTTAGCGTGTGAGCGATAATAGAAGACATTTTTCTACAGACATTACTACAGTAAACAATTTTACATACAACTGGGGCAGAACCAATTAAAGACACAGACCTGTTGCAGTTATGTGTAGTTTGGATGCCAATTTCATGCGCAAGTACATTTTGAGGCAGGTAGTAGATATTGGAAGATTGAAAGATCCCTGCAATACAGAAAACCCCTTTGTGCCCTCAGATTGTCTGTAATAAAAGGGCAGCATAGGGTGGTTGTTCATTAGGAAACTTCATCTTCCAATTCTGAGAGCTGGAATGCTCATACTGCTTTCAAGTGAAGCATTTGGGCAAGTTATACCTTGGATGTGGAACTATGTTCCCTCCCCCCCCCAATAGAACAAAACAGGGGAGGAAAAGAGGGACAGAAAGAGAAACAGTGCTAGATGTTCAAGAAAATGAATGTTTACTTTTCCTGCCAAGGCAGTTCATTAGTTCACACTATAGCACTTAAGGTCTTGATTTAAATGTCAATTTCTCCTTAGTCTAACAAATGTAAATTCTGAAGATGATAGCATTTATTTAAAATCTATATTCTACTTCTCTTCTAGAATAGCCGCTTAAACTACACACTAGGTTGCTACAGAAGCCCAGCAAGAGAAGACTTGGACAGAAGATCACTGGGATACAAATATTGAAAAGAAAATACGAAAATCATGCCCTAACTTACAAAGACCAACACAAGAGTCCTGATCCAGAGATCCTCATGCAGAGAAAGAGACTGTGGTCACCCTACTGGGTGCATAATGATCCTCTTTGCTGAACTGGAAAGGGACTGAATCCCCCACTCCAATCAGTCCTGCCAACCCAAACCACTGGTTTCAGTGACACATGTACTTGCACAGTGAGTACCACAAGCACATCTGCCGGATGCTGGATTGTGACCCACACAGCATCTTAACCAGCAGGACAAACCTGAATCTGTACATCCATCCAGCTTCCTGGATTTGGACAGTTTGGATAAAGGAACAGCAATACAAAAGTCTGTCAGCACTTCACACACACAAAAGTAATTAAGACCACTTTGTATGGTAAACAGAGAAGGCCAACCAAAATAACAAAGCACAGTGTGCAATCTTTTGAGTTCTCCAGAACTCTTCAACAGGCTGTATGTTAAACAAAGAGGAGGAAAAGAGGGCAGGGGCGGGGGAGACATTTCAGGCCATGATCTGAAAGCCACTGTCTGCATCTTGAACAGACTGCTCTGTTGCCGTCAATGGATGCAGCACACTGTGGTTAGTATTAGGTTTCATCTCCGGCCTCCTGGGATAAAGGAGCATCACAGTTGAAAACTAAAAATCAGCAGTTGATCAAACACTGAAGTATGTTGTAGATCCAAGATACAGTTCTCTCACTCTATCACACACACACAGAAAGAGATAAACACACAGCAATTTTGAAGGTTTAATTTTAATCTTTCCTGACCAGCAACCATCTGCTGTGTGTCATATTTAGAAGTAAAATGTCATTTTGCATAGAAGCATCCAACCCTTCACTGAAATGCAACACAGAATGTAGACTGAATGTTAACAAGGCGTTTAAAACTATCTAGACTCTTTTCTAAACCCTGTATTACCCAAAGTACGTAACCATCATGGCAGGTAAACACTAATTCCACATTAATGATATTCTTTTTTATCACATTCTAGAAAACTGCTTACTTTGTGTTAGTGGGTGTCTACAGTAGATTTCAGTGATGGAAATCCAGGCTCAAATTCTGACTCTGCCATCAGGTTGCTGGATGACCTGAAGCCTCTCTCTCTCTCTCTCATACACACAAACACACACTTTCTCAGACCTATCTGACAAAGTTGTTGAGAGGGCCAAATGGAGGAGGGATAACCACTGTTCCTCTAAGATGAGTTAGTGTGAGCTAGCTCACAGGTTTTTAGCCTCCGGCTCATACATTTTTGTCTCAGCTCAGGAAGGATGGCTCCAGAGCAAACTAATTTATGAAGTAGCCAAATCACTTGCTCACAACTTTAATGCCTGTAGCTCACAAAGTAGAATTTTTGCTCACAAGATGCCACAGCTTAGAGGGAGCATTGGGGATAACCCTTCTTGTCAGAAGGGATGGAATAAAAATGAATTAGAGAGACAGAAGGATAGAGGGATATGCGAGGTACTGTTTGGAATTGGTATCTGAGGAAAGAACAGGTCGTGCCAGAAGAGAAAAGAAATTTTGTTTGCTTTTACATGCAATTAATTCATGCATATTAGTCTTGGTGATAACAGGGTGTTTCTACACGTGTATAAATCAAGATTCTGCGGGGGGGAAATTGCATAGATTGGCATCCTGTGCATCCAGAAATGATCTTGCAGGCAGGCAATGGTCACAAAAGACCATATCCTGAAAACCCCTTATTAAGCCAGGGCTTCACAAACATGCCTTGTAAGGAGCTAATTGTGACCCAGTCTTTTGTTCTGGCAAATACCAACCTGAGCACAAAGTGAGGGTGGTTCTGATTATATCAACTCTTGCCAATCCTTTGATTACAGTTTTGACTGGCTGCCGTAATAAAGAGCTCCCGGTGCTGTATGCTTGAGAACCCTTTAATACTACCTTTCCTTGGAGACCTGGAATAGTCCCTCCACTCATCTTAGAAAGGGGTGAAACCTTACCTTTTCTACAGTGCCTCAATTACATTACAAGCAAATTAGTTTTACTTCTCTTCAGCTTATTCCAACACAGTTTCTTTAATGTCCCGTTGCTGTTTGTTTGCTTATGCTTTCTCCTTATATATTTTAATTCACTTTAGATTTGAATTATTTTATCGCTGCAGTTTTCCTTTGTTTTTGCAGTTCATCCCTCCCCAAGCATGAATGAAAAGTAATCTATAAATATAATAAAGAAATAAAAAAGTTTCGCCCAGTTTGGAAGCAACCAATTTAGCAGTTTGCCTTTGCCTGCATCAGAATTGAGTTTCCATCTATTCCAACAGAATGGAACTATTTTGGGGGTGGATATAGATATCCCTCAAGAGATATATCTATTGATGGCACAATTCAGTTTGTGGCAGATGAGGACCTCAGGGCTGTGGTACTTGCACTGTGGCTCATGGAGAACCACATTAGCAATTAACATCAAACAAAACAGCCACATTTACTTCCATCCCTGGCCTCAGGCTGACACCTCAGGGAGGCTCACAGCTTATCTGTTCCTCCGGATGAACCTGTTTCAAGGCGGAAACCATCTATCAACCACAAGCCCCAATGGGCTAAGTCTTTTCCTACTTTCCTGAATCATGAGGCAGGTACCACACCGAGGAACTGTGCTCAGAAGAGCCAAAGGTGGCATGTCATATAACCATAGTTAGCTCCTGAGCGACTGAATATCATTGCCTTAGAAAAAGCAGTTCCTTCCCTTTCTCCCTTTGACCACACAGGCTACAGAAGTTGGGCAGTAGGGACCTTCACACAGGGCAGTTGTCATTATGAAATCAATATTTGATCATTATAGCTACCCAAATTGCTTGAACAAGTAAAGCTGAAAATATAATCCATTCTTTCATCACACCTGCTGGAGATTAAATGCAGGAACAAAACATGGTTTCATGTTCATTAATTTCATGGAGTGCCTACGAGTTCTTGTATTGTGAGAAAGCGAGAAAAGTACTTCTTTCTCTACCTCCTCTATCCCATGCATAATTTTGTAAACCTTTATCATGTCACCCCTCAATTGTCATTTCTCCAAGCTAAGTGCTTTTGTTCTGGTGTGTGTGTGTGTGTGTGTGTGAACGGCGTCAAGTCATTTCTGACTTATGGTGACCCTATGAATTAATGACCTCCAAAATGTCCTGTCCTATTATTAACAGCCTTGCTCAGGTATTGCAAACTGAGGGCTGTAGTTTATTGAGTCAATTCATCTCATGTTGGATCTTCCTCTTTTCCTGCTGCCTTCAACTTTTCCTGTACGAACAGGAAAGATGGTAACAAGTTTGAGAAGAAAAAGAAACTATACTGTGTACAGAACTATATTATAATGAATAAACTCATAAATGAAAACTCTAAATGTATTTTATCGTGTTAAATATAAATATCATAAACAAATAACGAAGGATCTTATACAAATACAAACAAATTAGGTTTCAAAAGT